CTTTTTTGGTTGTTATTGCGGGGACAGGGTATGAGGGATGAGTTGTGCGAAATGTGGGAGACATGGTCAAGGGCTTTCTCGACCACTGAGGGGGGGAAGTTGCGGTCCTTGAAAAACGAGGACATCTGAGATGTACAGGAGTGGAATGCCTCATCCTGTGAGCGGATGCGGCGGAGGCAAAGGAATTGGGAATAGGGGATGGCATTTTTGCAGGAAGGTGGGTGGGAGGAGGTGATAACATTGAACCTGTAACATTAAAGACAAAATAAATGTTGTGGTGATATGGATTCAAAGCTCATCACCACAAATGTTGAGATTAAGGGCTGTTGTGATGCAGTGGTAGTGTCCCTTAGTTGTCAATTTTAAATCTGACATAGATACATTTTTGTTAAGCAAAGTCATTAAGAGATATGAGCCAAAGATAGGTATGTCGAGTTAGGCCACAGATCAATCAACAGGCTTGGGGGGCGCTGAATGGACCACTTCAGTTCCTACGTTCCTTACATCTGGGTTAAGTTGCACTTCTTCCAGAGGAGTTGAAGTTGGGCAAGAAATATTGGCCCAGGTAGAGAGACCCACATCCTGTGAATGAATATAAAAACAAGCCTTCCTTTCTTTCTTTTGATAATAATTCAGCAGTTAACTTCCCCTCTAGAACCGGCTCACAAATGGCTGAATCTGTTCAAAATCAGTAATGTTGCTTTGCTAATCATGTTCTGGTTCTACGTTATTGCCACATCTAAGCGTCACACAGGTGACCCAGATGCTGAGATAGATGTGGTCTGATACCAAAGAGCTTCATTTAGGGAAACTCTCATAAATGCCAACAACACGTGGTGTATATGAAGACATTTTGATGCAGCAAAACACCCCAAAATGATTAATTGACGAATGATTGAAATTGATTACATGAGAAGTGTCTGTTTCCATGCTGACTCTATGACACTATACACAGAGAATGATTCTTATATGGAATGACCTGCCAGAAGAAGTGGTGGTTTCGAGTACAATTACAACATTTAAAAGACATTTGGATAAGTATGTGAATAGGAAAGGATTGGAGGAATATGGGCCAAACGCAGGCAAGTGGCACTAGTTTGTTTTGGGAACGTGGTCAGCATGGCCTAGTTGGAACTAAGGGTCTGTTTCCATGCAGTATGACTCTATGACTCTCTAAAAATCAAACATTGTGTTTGGAGATTTAAATTATTATAATTTAACTTTTTAAAAACAAAACAATATCATAAGTTATGGGCATAGCTGCCCATTGAGTTGCCTCATTCTGTTCTGTGAACTTCCAAATCATTTAGGATGGAAATCATGGGAGCCAGGAAGAGTGGGAAGTGGTTAGTACTGCTGCCTCACAGGGGCCAGGTCCGATTCCAGCCTTGGGTGACTGTGTGGAATTTTCATCTTCTCTCTGTGTCTTCGTGGGTTTCCTTCCATAGTCCAAAAATGTGTAGTCTAAGTGGATTAGCCACGGTAAATGTAAAGTTACAGGGATAGGTTGAGATGCTGGGTCTGGGTGAGATGCTCTTCGAATGGTCACTGCAGACTTGTTGGGCTGACTGGCCTATTTCCCCACTGTAGGGATTCTATAATTCTATGTCCCTGGTGGAAAAGCTACTATGCAGTGGAATCCAAACCCAGGGGAGATGTGAAACTGTCGACTGATTCATGTCGCCCATTGTGCACTGGAGCATAAAGTCCAAAGTACTTCCAGTGTGCTAATCTACTACACCATCAAGTCACAAGCTTGTTCAATCAAATTAACCTGTGTGGCATTCAGTGACTGAGCATTATAAATAGAATGAGT